TGCAGTGCCTGCCTGTGATTTCCCACTATTTCTTTTTTTAAAAGATTTTTAATTAGTCTTGGTAAATTATTCTAATTATATTTGTAGGCCACAATATGTGGGCTAGTATTTTATTTGTCCATTACTAAGTTTTTATAATTCTATATGACACGTTGTTTTCACTTTTCTGCCTGGAAACGTGAAACTCCAAAATAATTTCTTCATTCTTTACAATACGAATGTCAGTTTAATGTTTATACATTATGGAGCTCTTGAAATGAAAGACACTTCAAATTTTTTGTTATCCTGTCAGTGAGATAAGCACCCACACGGGGGCTGTGGGACAGGAGGACTGTATGGTGACAATAAATAATAGTGAAACCTGGGTCCCCCACAAACGAAACTTGTCTTTGCTTTTTTCTTATCGTAAAAACATAAAGTAAAGCACAGAGTAAGTGTACATTAATTATTTAACAAATACTTGGTTATAAGATTTCCTTTTATGACAGCTTTGACCATACATCTTTATAATAGTGCCACTTAAAAGCGCAGGAAGAACCTTCAGGTTCTCAACTGCGAGGCAAGGCAAGCTTTAACATTTTTCACTTCTCTCCTATATAATTCCACGTGACTGTTTACTGTGGGGGGCAAAGATATCTTCAGCACTTTTACGGAGGTTTTACGCAACAGTATTCCTAACCTACATCCCATATTGTATCACATGTTCAATTTTACCAGTTATAAAAACAAAACATGGTATCTTTGTTGTAGTTCGAGACTCAGTATCCATTTTGCATACAGCTCGATGTCGGCATTCCAGATCAGTTCGTGGGAAAGAGCAAGCCTTCAAAGATCTGCTAGTTTATAGTGTTTATAGTGGTTAGCTTATTGTGTGACAGTACAATAGCACAATGGGCTTTCAGCGGACTGGTTTGTGCAGACAGTGAAACATAAGGATGAGGTGAGCTGAGCCAAACACTGACTGTGATGATTCCACTCCTGACGGCCAGGTGAAAACTATTTTTCTTCATTTTCAAACAGTCAGAATAAAGCTCCACCCTGCCCCCCTTTTAAACACAATATCACCTCATGAATATTCATAAAGTCTTAAATTCTGGTTTTATGGCATTATGGCAGAGCCATAAAAGAACTGCAGAGTGGGTAGGGGTGCTGTAAAATAGTTGCAAAAAGACCCTGACAGGCATAGTTCATCAACCCACAGTGGCCGCTGCGCAACCGGGCCAACAGTTTAAAGACCGTTTAACGAACAGGGACACACACACACTCAGTTCTCTTTCTTAGTTCACCTCCCTGTTCCCAGCTGACGAGAGGGGAGGGCGCCTCATCAACTCTCATAACTTTCTATCCCCATCTCTCCTCACCTGAGCTTTTCATCCAGGGGTAAATACGCAGTCTCTCATGGTTTAGCCTTCTTTGATCGGGGCTGCTCTGCCTCCTGGAGGTCGGCTCAGGAAGCCTCGGAGCCAGCGAGCATAACTGAGTCCGATTGAGTGGGAACAGCTCTGCGGGGCACCTCAGCGGCCGAACTCCCAGTGAGTTATAACCTCCTGCTGAGCATATTTCTGTAGCCTCAACACCCCTAATGCCCCCGTTTAGTCCCGAAAGAGAAGACCCAAATGATAAAGGAGAAGAGGAAGAGGGAGGGGAAGAAGAAGAGGGAGGAAACTGGACTCTGCTGCTGCCTCTCTCACTGGATGCATAATGGTGGCGATATTCTCTGGACACGAAGGCGCACGAAGAAGACGCGGCGGCAAAAGGAGAAGAAGACGGACAGTGAGAAGTTGAAGTGTCCGCTGAAAGCAGTCCACAGCTCATTGTGGATTATTGGTATTTGGTAAACAGCGCGTTGCCGAAGTCCAGCGAACTCATAATTTGGCTCCGGTGATTTGTGGGCCTGGGTCGATCTTTTCAGGAGCGACAGTGAATTATTGGTGGGGTATTACTGTCTATAGTTTTACACACACACACACACACACAATCACCCCACCCTGTATTTCTCATCCCCCACCTCCCATTGCCTCCAAGAACACGTGACGGAGCGTCCATGTGATGTCAAGATGTCCAATGGCGGACGGGGTTTCCCTCCGGATGCAAAATCATAAAGGGATCACTGGGAGTGACTCCTACAACATGTACAGCATTATATAAAAAAGTCGGGGCAACTCAGAATCTTCACCAATCACCTAGAAACCAAGAAGACTGAAATCTGACAAATATTCAACTCAAAGTTAAATCATTAACTGCCATACTTGAAATGGGCTTCAAACAAACAACAGAGGACACTATTAGAAGAAGAACACTGGTTTAATTGGAACGTATGCGAAGCAGCCGAGCAGACTTCAACAGAAAACGGAATTCTCTTGTTCTCAGTGTCTTGTCCCGGCGCATGGTTTGAGGGGACCACACATGCAGAGAGCAGAACAGACGAGCTGTTGTGTGCCTGCAGTGCACCGCGGCTGTCTGGTCAGTACAGGCAGAGTGATAGACGAGGATGTAATGCAAACAACAGATAACGTTTAATGGAAGCAGTCCAAAGGTGTCCCTTTGAAAATAATTCTGTGAGCCCACGGTGAAAGATGAAATCTCTCCACTAATATAAAAAATAATAACAATTACGGGTTAATATTGCTCATACCATATCACTCTCCAACTATAAAGCAGGCAAACAAAAGTTAACGAGTAATGGATATGGTTTCAAGAACAAGCATACCGAGTCTTGATCTTATACAAATTCACCGAAGAACATAAAGCGCACCTCTCTATGCCGTTTCATAAATCACCTTTACTCTGTAGATTCAGAGAAACTCACCTAGCGTGCAGGTGCTCTGCTACGTCCTTAGATGTTAAATTTCCACGCAGCATTCAATTCAATCAGGATCAAATCTGCGCGTTGAGTCTAAATAAGAGTTATGAACTGGAAGAACGAGGGAGAGTTTGAGGATTGAGAAAAAAAGATTTGTTTTTGGTGACTAGTCAGACATAATCGGATGTAGTACGCTTCAACCTCTGAAAAAAGGTGGCATCTGTCTCGGTTTTAACTGTTCATGTAGCAGGACAAGATCGCAAAGCATGGCTATGATGTTTGCATGGGCAGTTGTTTAACATCAGGAACCCCCCGCCGAGATTAGATATTTTAATAGTATGCTTTGATTATACTTAAAGTGCTTATTAAATCAGAAATATATCAGTCATGATTACTTAGCTCACCAATCAGATATGATAAAAAAAACTCCTTGGAAATGTTGTCCAGTGTGCCCCAAAACATTTATATTTTGACAACTACAACTGCCATATCCCTCCTTTACAGTGTGTCTCTATCTCCTGTTGGTAAAATATTATTGGACATAAAATATCTGAATTTCAGAAGCGGGACCACATCATTATCCCAGTTCTACAAGCCGTTCGTTCTCGTTTTGGTGCCCCACTCTCCCTCCCCTTTTTCAATTCTTTCACGTCTTCACTTCTCATTAGTACATGAGTATCTGCCAGGCCCGGGAGCCGCCACGGGTCCCCTCCAAGGCCTTCTCCAAACCGCAGCTTAATTCATGTTTGAGCCATTCGCCTTTATCTACTTAAACGCTGTCAAACCTAAACTGAGGACATAAGCCCAGCTAGTGAAATGAACAAGTGCAGTCTGTAAATATGTACTCTGAAATTATATTTTCAAGTACAGGCTTCTTAACTGTGGTTCATTACTTTAAAACTAAAAATGACAAACAGAATGAAATATTTCGAACATTTAGGTATACATTAGTGCATGTGCTTTTATTGTGGAAACTGCACATGTGGTCCACTTTGCCTCAATATGTCAAAGCCTGTTAGATTTGTGCAATTATTCGAAGCCTATTTGTCTTCCTATTAAAGCTTTACTCTGAATCTGTCTTCCAGCCAACGCCTGAAAACCCGACCAGCCAAATATTCAGTGATTTGATAGCATTCAAACCCAGACTTCACGGATACCCTACAGTTTAGGCGAATGCGGACAAGCGCATGCTCCCTGAATTTGAGCTTCCCATATGGAAACAATCGGATCTGAAGTATCACCGTGATGATGATGGAAGACGGTGTAATGATAACTTTAGAGGTCTCTAATAATGTAAATGCAGGTGGAGTGGCACGCCATAAATAAAGTAATGTTTGGAAGGATGCGGATTGTGCGCGAGTGTGTCACCGTGAGGGTATAAGAGGGTGGATGTCTGTTGTTTTAAGAAGAGATTTCCGAGTCAAGGCTAAATGTTTGGCCTCGTGAACTGAGCGGTCTGGCAAGTCTGCGTGGTGATAGAGTGAAGAGGGATAAAAAGGAAAAGGATGGAAGGATGCAGGAAAGGATGGAGAGTGCCACACAAAAGATGAAAGGCGGGGATTATACGATTATACGAAGACATAAAAGGAACCCTCAGCTTCGACTTTTTATCACATTTTCCCATTTTTATTCTTATAAATGTTCTTGCTTTTGAATCTGCACTGCGCGCATGCGTTTAAGACCCCTCCCCAAAGAGAAAACAACATAAGACAAACACCACCAATCAAAAAACAAAACAAAACAAGAAAACAAACAAATAAACAAAGGGAAAAAACGACAGTTAGAGGGTGTAAAAAAGAGACCCGACCTACTAAAACGGCATAAATAGGCAGTTTCATGTTGTTGGAAATTTCATTAATTGCTACGTCATCACCATCATCATCAATCATTGCCATAACAACAACATAGAAGTGAAAAGTACAGTAAAAAGTGCACCATTATCATCGTCGTCATCATCATCATCATCATCATCATTTTAACTTAAAAACTATACAGCTGCCAAAGATAAAATTGTTAATGATTAACTTCTAACAATATAGAAATGTTTCCACGATAATTGTTCCACAAAGAAAGAAAGCTATCTTTTTTTTTCTTCTTTTTAAGTTTATTTTAAACACTAGTGTAGACTATGTTTTCTTGCTTCATTGTCACGTTTTTTTCCTCTCAAGTCCATCTAGTTAGCCAGTCACCATTTTTAGAAACTCACGTTCCCTTCCAACGATTGAATCGTGGAGACAGCAGGGGAGTCCAGTGGCCTCAGTTAAGAAAAAACAGCCCACCCCTCACCCCATCCTGCCTAACATTTACACCCACCCTGTCCCCATCTACCCCATTTTCTTTCTCCCCTACATTTGCTTGTGGCTTTTCTCGCAGCAATCGTCGTTCACAGAAGCCTGTGACCCCGCTGTGCCTGCCACCGAGCCTCCTCCACCACCTCCTTCTCCACTTCCTCCTCCTGCACCACCGCCACCTCCGCCGCTGACGCCATCCCGCAGCTCCTTCTCCCTCCTCTCCCTCTCCACTGCCTCCTGTTCGCTCTTGCTACTGGGGAACTTGTCCTTGTTGTTCTCCTTCTTCCACTTCATCCTCCGATTCTGGAACCAGATCTTCACCTGCCTCTCCGTCAGCGCCAGCGCGTGCGACACCTCGATACGGCGTTTCCGGGTCAGGTAGGGGTTGAACAGGAACTCCTTCTCCAGCTCCAGGGTCTGGTAGCGACTGTAGGTTTGGCGGCCCCGCCTCCTGCCAGCAGCTACTGGGGGAAGGTGGGAGAGTGAAGAGAGAAAATTGTTAGACACAAAACTTCATTCTTCCATGTCTAATAATCAACTTGACACCACGCACACACGCACTCAAATGCACTTGCGTGGGAAACCTTCAGAACTTTCAGGTTTTCGTGAAAATTTACCTTCGCCTTCGTGATATTTTGAGTGTTTCTTTTTCTTGTGGATTTGGTAATGCTCTCATTATTTCTGACGTATTACTGTACCTTTACCAATATCAACTGACTGCGAATATTGTAGTGAGTGCACCGTGGTGTTAGAAAAGTCTCCTCGGTCATTTTGAAACGCCTCTGATTTTAATACACAAAAGAGTGGTGGATGTGGATGAAATTTAATTTAAGCAAACAAAAAACGTTTGATGACTTTGCCTGAAAATAAGTTTCCAAAGTGTTGCTAATTCTCCCATCTAAATCAGTGCTTTTTGTCTACTTGCTATGGTTCCTTTCGTGTTGACCTTTAACTTATAATGTTTACATGTCTATATTTCATATTGCTCTTATAACAATTTCAACACTATACACAAATTGCCACCTTGTACGTCTAAACCTCACCTTGTTGGAGGCGTCTACTGGCATGTACACTCCCAGGTCATCGCTTTTCCTCCAACAAGTTCTTTGTTCTGCTAATGATGGGGAATTAGCTTTCGTGTCAATTACAGTAGGCTCGTTTACAGACAGAAATGAACACGACTCACAAAGCGAGACATCGTCCAGTGTTATACAATTTGCAGTCTGGATCAAATACGCATGTGCCAAAGGAAAAAAACAGTTTAATGCAGGCGCTGTGAAATTATGTGACAGCCGTACGTGAAGTTACAAGAGCACAGTAAAAATGGACGCACGCGCTCTTTGAACACGAGTCTAAAAACTGAAACTCTATACCGCTCAGCCGCTTTTACTGCAGTAATTAAGATGTCTCTTATGTAGACAAATCAACTGAAGACTTCCCCTTGTGCATATAAATATTTAGTACTATAAATGCATCGTAAATGCTTTCCAAACGTGAAAAATACTCAGCGTATTTGAGAGCAGCCTAAAGGTCTTTTCTAAGGACTTTAAAAGATGCCCACAATGAAATTTTGGAATAAGAAGGAACTATTTCTCAAAACATTTGCTAAATGCAGGTCCGCATTGTGCTGTAGTCTATTGATATGGTTTGGTTGTTTTCTGCGCATTGGTATCATTTTATATAAACCCTTGGAAGGTACATTTTTCAACAAACTGGGCGATGTTTTAAATTGAAATAATGTCTAAAGGTTAAGCTAAAATGCATCCAACATGACATCTTGGGGCTGTTAATAAACTCCAAGTTGTTTCATCTTAAAGTGGACGATTAAAACGACACATTTAACCATGACAGCCTGGCAGCAGTATCTCCACGGTTCATACAAAGAGGACATTTGTGTAAGTGATTATATTTCCATAAACATGTTTGTCTTTCGCCTTTATTATTATGTCATAAAAAGGGAGCACCGTGCCATGGACAAAATATGCCAGTGGCCATAAAAGCTTTGAAGTAAAAAAGGCTGCGTTCAAATTATTGCTCTGAAGGGAAACTCAGCTTTTACAAGTTTTGTATTGATTATCGCTAATCGTGCTCGAAGACCATCGATCTGGGAACACGTTGAAACCTATTGGACTAATAAGAATGTTTTATGAGAGAGCGAGAAAATTCATATTTGATGTTTTTGTTTTTTGGGGACGGGGGGTCGTCAAGCCTCTAATGGACTTCTAGTGGACTCTGGGTCTACAGCCCCCATTTCACACGCAGACAACTATCTCTCCGCAACGCTAAAATGTAAGGGTTTAAGTAAAGTTTGAGGGCATATAGTCGACCACTCTGATATAGGGTGACACTAGGGGTGACTAGGGGTGGAGGTAAATGTTGAAATTTCCTGCACTACACTGTATCAAGAACACATCTTACCGAAACAGTAGTACAGGTTGCGGTCTAATTTTTAAAAAGAGCACAAAGTTTACATGTCCACAATATGGGAACAAGCCGCGGGAGAAGATTAGACATGGAAATGCAAAAAGTTGTAAGCGGTGTAGAGGTCCTCTGTGTGTGTGTTGTCAGAGGAGTGTGACAGTAGCCGTGCTATACAGTTTCTTACGACGCAACACCACGAGGAACTGAACCTTCAGTCCTCGCTGTTTACATACAGCCTGTGTTCGAAGAATATATGTGTCTATATGAGAAAGGTGTGTCTATATGAGAAAGATAAGTAGAATAATAGTTCTACTTATCTTTCTCATATAAATGTTAGCTTGTGTTTTTTACATTAAGAATATATGCTACCTTTGTGGCATGCTGTATTGTTGAAATGTTGTTATAAGCTTACAGTAATGAAACAAATTTAGTTGTTTTCTGCGAAACCTTTACAAAGCCACTCGAACAAATACTAAATAAATGTACGGGAGATGACATTTGAGGAAGGAGACAGCAGATGCCAGTGAAAGCTGGGCCAACGGGAGCTAATACCATTACACATAGACATTTATTAGCTGGCCTAATCACATTTCTGTTCTCTTTGTGTCATGTTTAAGGTCGTACAGAGAAATCATTTATCAAGACTTCCAACCACAGGGGTGAAGTCGTAAAACTGGCTCATGTTCGCAAGTTTACAGTCAAACTCTGATATTACACCCCTCCTTTGGAATATATATATATATATATATATATATAATGAAATGGAAGGGGAAGAAGAGTAAAGAGACTAAAACCTAAAACTTTACCCTCAGTCCGCTTGGTCTCAGGTGCGTCTCCATTTTATCATTATTTTATTTTGTTTCTGTTTTTGTAAAGAGACTTTACACACACAGTTATGACAAGCAGGGAGTCAAGCAAGTACAACGTTTTAAGATGTAAAATACCAGAATTTACACTAACGCTGAGGCGGAAATGTTGTATGAAACGCTTTACTAAATCGTGCGTAAATGTGAATTGCCCGCTATTATTATTGCTAGGTTCTTTAGCAGCTGGGTAAAAAGCTGCATCCTGTAAGGATGGAGAGAAGGTAGCTTCAGATTAATACACATCTGAGTTGTTGTTTTATTTATTTATTTTTAATTTTATGATCATAAGCTTGAAGTCACAAAAGTTCAGCACAGGTCATAACAGCGTCTGCAGCCCTACTTTGAAAATACAGCCGAGAACATAAGCCATAAAATAAGCGCGCGCGCACACACACACATACTCACACACAGAGCAGGAAAGAGAGATATGGACTCAGACAAAACAGGCTACTATACATGCCAGTCCATTCACTCTCTCCCTTCAAAGCACAAAAAACAAAAATGCCAACTTGCACAAGTCTTTAGGTCTGACTGTGGTGCTGCTTTACGTTATAAATTAGAACCCGGCTCTGCTTTAAAACAGTTCTTTCAAAGAAAGTCACATTTATGCATCTTACGTGATTTATAATGTGAAGGAGTTGAACCGATCCGGCCTCATCTATATATCAATGGCTTTTTGCACCACAAAACACAAAAGCGAATTAAATATAAATCCGAGGGACTTCTGCTGGGGGATAATTTTGTTACGCGAGGTCTGTGAATTTAGAAACCACAGACGCTGTGCAATGGCAAAAAATGCTCTCTCTGTTCTCACATGCATTCTCTGAGCTCTGTAGACAACTGACCACCGTGTAGCCAAATAATCCCACCACAGGCAAGTCGTAAACCGAAAAAAACAAAGCCCAGTAAAAGTTTAACCGGGGTCAGAGCTGCATGTCCAAAATGTGTCGGTGAAGCTGGAAACAACTACCTTCAACATCTCGGTATCTTCTTCCCGTCTGTTGAAACTAAGATTTTCTGCGTTTAGTTCTAACTGAAGGCACTGAGGTTCAGTTCCCCCTCGTCAACCACCATTTCTCCCCGTTTCTTGTCTATTTTCCATCACCCCCTTCTTATCCCGGGGCTTTTCCTCTCTCTGTTTTGGACGGTGCAATTAAACCCTAAAGTCATTCACATATGTTTTGCTGCTACCAATAAAACCATAAACGTGCTATTGTTTCCCCACTTTGAACGCAGGAACCTCTAATTGTTCTCCTTAAATTGCTGCTTTCAAAACAACTTCTCCAACTTTCCCCCACTATTTCCTGCTCCCTGTATGATTATATTTTCCGCCTTCGGTTCCTGGAGGACAAGCAGCTTTGCTCTTACTGCAGACTGCTTTGTAGGAGTGAAGTTCTATGGTTTGCAGGGAAAAAAGAAGAGAAAAAATGTACTAGACTCGCCATTTCCTCACCTTGCGGCCTCATCCAAGGGAAGAGTTGCGTCGGCGAGGGACTCTGCTCGGTGCCCTCCGCGTCCTCGCTCCCGAGTCCGGGCGCGCCTCCCAGCTTACAGTCGCTGTACTGAACCAGATCCGCGTCCTGGGTGCCGAAAAGTGTCTGCCGCTGCAAGGCGTCGTATCCGTAGAAGTTCCCGGGTTCACCGTGGCATGTGACCGCGCACGGGCTCTGCTGGTATGGGTTGCTGGGCAGCGTCGAGGCGCTGTGGTGGTAGAAGTCCTGGATTTGCGGAGCGTGCTGGAAGGTGGCGCCGGAGCTCGGGCCGTACACCACGGTGGGCCGGCTGCCAGCCAGGTCCTGCGCGAACCCGCACTCGTAGTAGTTCGGACGTAACGAGTCCCCGCTTTTATATTTGGAGAAGAGCGAGTTGACGAAATATGAACTCATCTTTTGTGTTGTTTTCTGTTTTAATTTGTGTTCGGCTCGGCAGAGTCAGAGTGAGGGTGAAGGAAGAGACCAGTGGCTTTCAACTGTTTTCTTTTTTTTCTGCTGCTTCTGTGGTACGGTTTGAGGCAGACACACACACACACACACAGATAGCGAGTAGGGAGAGTGAGGCAAGTCCGCCGCCGGTGTAAGTGACCGTTGTTGTAGTGTTTTCCACCTCACGGCGGCAACAGACGAGTCGGTTGCGGTGTGAGTAACGGTGACGGCAGCCGGAAATGTGAGAACCACAACCAGCACCACAACAACAATAATATAACAATAATCACAGTGATTCCATAGAATTTCCAGCCCAGAGGAAGAAAAATAAGAGGAAGGAGAAGAAGAGGATAAGGAAGGGCTCGTGCGCATCACAATTCCGGTGTTTGCGCTGTAAGCCCTGTCGCGCTCTCAAACGGCTTTTCCGTGATTTACTCCCCTGCAAATGAGTTGTTTCATATTTTTCTCCTTCTCTCTCTCTCTCTCTCCCTTGCACGCTCTCTCTCGCTCACACCCCCCCTCTCTCTCCGGCTGTGTCTCACGCGCCCTCTCTTTCTCTCGCCTCCTGGGCCAGGGTGTGTGTATGTGTGTGTGTTTCAAGGATAATTTGCATCTGTTATCAGCTCTTCATCCCATTGGGTTTTCTAGGCATACAGACAAGTGTGCACCAGCCCGCGCGCAAACCACACACAAACACATGCGGAGTCTTTTTTTTTTTTCAATTTCCCCCGTTCTTTTTGCGCACGCACGCGCTTATAAACTGATAGATGATAGTTTCTGTCTGACGGAGCCTCTGTGCGCCTGTGATTATAAAAATGTAATGAGAGAAGGAAAAAAGATGGGAGAAGAAACGGGGGAAGGAGAAGAACAGGACGAAGAAGGTGAAGAATATAAAGCAAGAAAAGAGGACACACACACACGGGGGCGCGCACACACCGCTCCTCTATCCAACCAAAATAAAAAGCGTTGCCTTACTTAAGTTTTGCACAGGTTAGTGTTGGCTGCACCGGTGCTGCTATGTTTATGTGTGTCATTAATGAATCGTTCTTATTTCTCACCCTGATTCCTTCAAGTGGAGTTGCAGTGGAAGCGAAGGCGTGAAAATATCAGGGAACCCGACAGACAGTGTTTAACTCACAATGAAACGAGAGATGGGGAGGGTAGATGGGGGGTGAGTAGACCAGAGTTTCCCTTTAAATTTAACTGAGGTTTTAGAATTATTCTTTCCGTTTCGACTGCTGATGTTTGCGTGTGGCCAGAAAATAAACACGTCTTCTTATCATCATGTGCTTGTATAAATATGCAAGGATGACCAGCAAATGTAACAGGCGAGGAGAACGTGGCTGCTAACGCTGAGACAAATTATAATATTATGTCCTTTCAGCTGAGAAACAAAAAGGGGGCTTTACGACGCGCCCTTTGCAAAACTGGAGGCCATAAACGCCCTATCCTTGCTACGTATCGTAATTTTCGTCTCGTCTTCCTTCAATTCCGGCACAATAATAACAACAGCAACAATAAATAAATAAATATTTGATCTAATTACCAAGACTCATCCACTTTGTGATGGGAGTTCCAGTACAGCAGCTGCTCTAAAGTCGTTTTCAGACTCGGTTAATATTATTTTATTTTCGAGCTATCGCTGCTAAAAGCAGCCAAAATAAACATTAAATGAATTAAAATTACCAGAATTGATTTTATTTACGTTTCACGGCCATGACACAAGAGGCCAAAATTCCGGCAACAGCCCGAATAACAGACTGAGCTCCTTTAAATCAGCTGATTGTCTGCCTGACTTTACGAGGAGTAATTGCTGCCATATTTTATTTCCCGAATATGATCTTATTGAAACTTCTTCACTCTGTGTTTTACACTTCCAATAAAGAGTATGATTATGAGATTTGTTATCTACATGGTGAGATGAGAATGTGGTTCTCAAAAAAACCAAAGCCAAAAAAAAAAAAAACAGCTAAATGTTCACACACTGGGCAAAACAACACGAGGGCTCAAAGAAAAATACAGTTCAGTTCTGCCGTAAACAGCTAGACATATGCGTTCACACTCACAGCAGCGCATTTAGAGCGGGATTAACTAAATGAAAAATAACAATGCTAACAATTCCTATGTATTAAATCTACTATGATCAAAATATCAGAGAATGGGTAGAAGAATATGATCGCACGAGGTAAGGCCTTGATGATATTTAAAATAAAACGTTTCCATCAAGACAAACATATATAGTATATTCACCTTTTACAGCAAACCTTTACAACCCCGCAGCAAGGTCTTCAATGAGAATTCTGAAAATACATATCCCGCATACCAATGGGTTACTAGTTTTTTCAAGGCCTCAGCCTCTTCCTCTTCGCCCACTGCGCTGTAAAACGCCCTACAACTACTTCAGATTTCACTATTTGTTCTAAAGAAAAGTGAAAAACAATGTCTTCAGGTGTCCGAATTTCCTAAACCAAAATCAAAAAGTATCATCTTCTTCTTTAAAATAAATCTTTACAAAACATCAAAATGGAATAGGCCCAGTTTCGCCCCCTTTAAATGAATCCTTTTCCCGTCAAGGCAGGGAAAGCCTCATCGAGAATTGAAATATCCGTGAAGCAAGAGTGCCATCAAGCGGTAAACTACAGTAAGGCCGCAGGGGAGGAAGACAGCCTCTAATGTGGCTTTATGGTTCTATTATGTCGGCACATAAAGCTAAATAAGCTGCTTTAAAATAAAACCCTGCGTCGTAATTGTGAGTCTGATGCGAGGGTCGATTTGGGATTTGTGGCGAAAAAAATGAAGTGAAATGAAAACAGATCCGTGGCACGTTAATGTGTTTCTGAAAATTAAAGGGGAAATAATCCGCTTAAAGCAGCCAGTAGCTGATATACTTCATTTTTTTTCTGGCATTATGAAATTTACTGTACTTGCCTTACTTTCATACCACAAAACACTGCCCCAAAAGCAAAAGTGAACTAAAGATAATAGATTTATTTTTCTGTCTCAAGGACACCTCTTTAATCAACAACAAACGAATAAACTCAAACCAGGAACCTCCACATTAAATGTAACACCAGTAAAAACTATAATTTTTAAGATTGCAGCTTTTGATCTGTGCTCTTTACGCCACACTACACGTTTCTTTATGTAAGGTTTTATAGCCCACCTAAAATAGATTACGTTTAATCCCAGGACGATTAGCTTCTAGACTTTATGTAACGGTTTGCATATAATAGATTTACTAATGTACACATAAATATACAGTTTATGTGTAATTTTTTGTAATACAGTTAGCGGTTTTTTTTTAATCATAACCGCGATATATACAAATACAAAGGCATGTAACTTGCCACAAAATGTGCATAAGATAATGTTATAAGTAACTAATGTTGTACATATAAGGTTTCAGACCTTCTCGTCAGTTATAGATTCTCTCAGATTATAAATGAATGACTGATACTATATGGATCATAATACTATAGTTTTGTGACACTTCAGTCCACTATTTGCAGTTAGTTAAGAGAGGAAGCAAGTAGGTTAATGATGAAGCGTCAAAGAAAATAGAAAGCTATTTTCATTTTTAATGGTATTTTGAAATTGTGTTTTGGTTACCCTGATTTTCTATTTTCAAATGAGCAAAGCCGCAGTGATGTAAAGTGAACAGTGTGTTTCCCACTCTGTATCCAGTTCAGTGCAGACAAACCGGTTTTATTACAGCGCATGATTGCTTCTTTAATGTTTGGCGGGACCTGTGGCGTGATTGTGTGTGCGCGTGTGTGCGCGGTGGCTAAATTGCAGGTTGTAAACAGACTGTAAAAAGCAGTTGTTACCATTATCTGAAGAGACTGCCGCCCAGATCCTCAATTTCACCTCTGTGGGAATGTGAACACTATAAGCTGCCGAATGGTAAAACCACAGAGAAATGAATAGCATAACATTATTACTTAGCATAAGTAATAAAAGCATAAGACTCTGTCTCTGAATATAGCTTAGCACATGTATCACAGGTTTATAATCCCCTTGAGGGAAAAACAAACAACGAAAGAGAAACAAACAAACAAACAAAAATCCTCTTGCAGCTCAATCCATCGGTTCAGCAACATGCGGAGAATGCTCTGCCCTCCCACCCTGTACAGCCCGAGCTCAAGCCCGATACTTGGTCAGCTCTCAATCTGTCTGACGGAGTCTGCAGTCTGCGTTTTTTTCTTTTTGTTTGTGGTGGTGGCTTTTATGGCTTCCGCTGTAAGTATGCATCTGAGAGAAACAAAGGGAGATGGGATTGAAGACAACACACACACACAAGGCTGCCAGAATAGGCCCATAGAACCAAACGGCTACAGAGCCATAAAAGTCCTGAAGCTGAAAACTAAAAAGGAGAAGGAGGATGTTTTTATTTTTATTGTTTTGTCTTTTTTCTAAGTTTTTTTCTCTGTTTTTTTATCTATAAGCCAGGAAGTCTTAAATATAGCTACAATTTTTCAACGTTTGGACTAACATTTGCCTTCATCTCATGACTCCAGCTTAAGTTCACAAAAGGCTTCAAATAAATTATCAAGCAGGGAGATTTGAAACTTTCCTTTCATATCTCCTCCGTCTTTGTGGCTTTCCTTGCTTCGCTGTTCTTCTTCTCTAGGTGTGTTTGCTTTACAGCCGTTTAGTTCTTAACTTTCAGAAATTTATAAGCTATAAACTTTTATTGCCGTCATATTCTTTTATTGCGCCGCACCGCCTTGAATCTTTTCTCAGTCTCTCCAGCCTATTCTCCTCTTTTCCATCTTCTTCTTCGCTATTTTTACGACAGTCGGTGGCGGCTTCTTCTAACGCATCCGTTCCCATT